AAAAAAAAAAAAAAAATTGATTAGTGAGGACCTCTACCATCACTGCAGTTTTGTCAGCATAGCTGGACATTGCAGCCCAGATCTCTGGGAAAGGATGAAACGCATAATCACCACTAAGACACACTATCTACCTGCACAGACAGGCATGGGAGCTGCATAGTCATCCTGCCAATCCCCACCTCAGTTACCGAGGTACTTCCCAGGAAGGCGGCGTCATGCACAAGGCAAAATGCACCCTCGCTTTGCTTCAAACTAGCGTTTGATAGTGAATTCGTATGGCTCCACATTGGGAACAATGTGGCATCCTGGCTTCCATGGCTCGGGGGCCTATAAGGCATGTCACCCAATCAAGTAGAGAGACCTGCCATGGCATCCCACGTGTTCTTGTTTTCATGGGCACTAGCAAGTCTCAGCCATTCAAGGTTTCATCACAAGTTTCCCCAAAAGGGGGAACTTTCTCCAATAAAAAAGAATGAACAAGGGGAGAACTGGAGCTACTCATACACATGTTAGTCTTCAGAGTAAAGGCATCTGTGTTAGTCAGGGTTCTCTGCGGAAGCAGAACCAACAGGATGTGTGTGTATATACAGAGGGAGATTTATTTTAAGCAACTGACTCATAGGATTGTGGAGACTTAGTGAGTCCAGAATCTAATGGGGAGGCCTACAGGCTAGAGATACAGAAAACAGTTGCAGTTTGAGTCCAAAGGCAGTCTGCTGGAAGAATTCCTTTCTTCTTGGGGGAGGTCCATCTTTCTTCTATCAAGGGCTTCAACTAATCAGATGAGGCCCACCCACATTATGGAGGGCAGTCTGCTGCACTCAGTGTCCCCTGATTTCAATGTTGTGTTGTATATATTTTATTTTCTGTATATTATGATGGTTTGGTATCTTTTTTAAAAAGCAACAAACAAACAAAAATACCAAAACAAAAAAACACCTTTTCTGGCTGGGAAGAAACTGGATTTCCTGGTGCTAATCGATGATTAGAGCAAAGGGTCCAGCTGGGAGCATGTGTTTGCTATGCCAGCTATGCAGTCCAGAGCCAGGCCTCCTCTATGTGGCTCCCACTTTACAGGAGATGACATTCCTCTGCCTGCATCATGCCAGGGCAACTAAAGAAAGCTAGCTGTCTGTGACTTAAAGGTCACCAAAATTATTCACACTAGCCGATCCTCAACTAATTCCCTATCCTGCCTTGTTTTCCCATGGAAACCCTAATAAAGGTTCTGGACTCTGTCTCCTGCCCACACCACTGTTTCCCCATGTGGCCCTGTGAAGTGTGCCCTGCCTCCCATCTCTAGGACCTGTGAGGATAATAAACTTCATCTTCCTGAGCCTCTCCTCTGGCTCCTCTTGTGGCCTCACCTGACTGACAATCTCATAAAAGAACACAAAACAAATGTTAATCTCACCCCGAAATCACCTTCACCAAAACACCCCCATTAATGTTCAGCCAAATACCTGGGCACCATGTTCCAGCCCAGTTGGCACAGAAAATCAACCATCAAGGCATCTTTAGAGGCAGTCATTCTGCTGGGCAGATATCCCATATTTGTGCCTGAAAACAAAGATCTCTTATCAGCATGACCTACCCATGTGAAGGTTCCCACTTGGTTTTGTCTGTCAAAGAAAAAGCTTATGAGGAAACAGGTCTTCCAACAGAATAGCTTAGGAAACACACTCTTCCTACCTAGAACACAACTCAGATCTTTATGCTTAACTGGGAACACAAAACCAAGAAAAAAGAAGACATGTGAGGCCAACCAAAGGCATGATGGAGAAAGCCACATTAAACAAATGCAAATTGCCTCTGAGAAAGTACTGTTAGTCCTGGAACAAAAGAGAACTTTTAAAAATTGTTATTAGTATCATCAAACGGAAGAAAGGAGATATTGTAGTCATACAGTGCTAATAAAATGCCCTGGGGAAACCTGAGAATGCAAAGAAGACAGCCACTTATGGATTGTTGACAAAATAAATTTTTTTAGTTCAGTGCAACATTTAATAAAGCAGAGAAATGTTGTGATGCCTTTAAGAAACATTTCCATCCAAAATGGTTAATAAAAAAAAGAAAATTTGACATTTAGATGAAGGTCCCCTAAGTTCCCCAAGTTCCCAGAGGCCACAGGAGCTGGTGGAGCCACCAGAGGACAAAGTCCTAAGTGGTGACTTGGAGAAAGTCCCCTCCGAAGCAGGAACATCCACGGTATGTTCTCACATGCGCTAGAAAAGCACTTCTAGG